TATCTTATGTATCTCATGGCTTAAACATTCGTCTGGCAACATTGTATGTCTTCAGCTTGGATGTCGCCCCAAACTCCTTGAGCTGCATATCCAACTGCTATATCAATATCTCGGTATCACGTGTATGAAATAGCGTATTAAATTTTGTCAAGAACTGGTGGGTTCCCACTCCCCAACCTGTACTTGCTGAAATGCTTTCCTATGTAGTAACCTACTAAACGCCTTGGGTCCAGTTTTATTGACAAAATCTTGGATTGTCTAGACTCCTGTTTGTCTTATTGCTGATATCTGTTAATCTCATTCAATCTTATTGCTTTTTCGTAATCCACACTCAATCTTTCGACTGCCTGTACCTCACTACGCCGAATCATCAGTACTCATTTCTTGCGTGACACGTTTCCTGAAATGTCTTGTCGGATCTACATTTCCATGAGCAATGTAGGAACGTGTCTAGTTTCTCAATTCTACCATATTTCGTGTTTTCAGTCAGTATTGTAGCACATTTTGTGTATGAGATGCATGCTATTGGCATTTTCATCTGTTCATTATCATTAATGATGTTGGGCAGGTGCCAAGCTGCCTCAGAGATAACTGCTTTATCTGTGCTACTCTGTTTTTGTTTCATAATACTTATTACCTTGATGCAAAATGCTACTTCTTGTATTTAATTGCTTATTGCCTGTCTCTGACAGTCTCCCTTCCCAATGTAGAATCGTTGGCAGGATTTTTCGTGTTTTGGCTTGCCAAATGTATCCCAGAGAACCCAGAATAGGAACTTGGCATTTATGGTCTTGGATGCATATTTGTTGGAAGAGATGAATTCGGTGCTCTTATTACAAGAGTGTCATCACTGAGGAATGGGAAAAGCGTTCAATGAGACTACCAAATGAAGTAGGTCTGAAGAGTTTATGTCCATTATGTTCCCCTGTCATCCCTCTACCCCAATATCTTCTCTATATTTCATGCAGAGGCGTGTGTGAGTTGCCATGACTAGTGCGTAAAGCTGCATAGCAGCGTATATGTTTGGAAGCACAGCTATCTTATCACTTTGGAGAACCGTGATGGAATGAAAATTCCCATGCAATTGACAAAGATTAATAGGAGCCAGCTTTTATGGGAGTGGGGGGATACAATATTGCAGGGCAAGCCTCTGCAGGAAGGAAAAACATTGGCAAAGTATGAAGCAAAAATACTAAATTTTATGGTGACTGTGGAAATAAAGTAGAATAAGACCTACAGCTGCGCTTGGGAGCTTGGCTTTCCCTCTCCTTCACTCCCCTCATGGATGTATGATCTGAACGGAATGAACGAGTCCCCTGACAAGGAGATCATCACGTCTCCTCATTCTTATGAAGTCTATTTCGGGTCTTTCACAACGCTGTCCCATCATTTTCCAAGTTTTCAGTTCTGCGTTTCCCTTCATTTACCAACCTTCAGAGAAACAAGGCTGATTTGATTAGAGGGGTGTGCCCGTTTGGTGACCACAAACTTATCTTCCTGCTGCTTTAGTCACCCGCTTTTGTTGATTTTTTGAACCCCCCATGTAGTAAAAGCCGTATAGTTAAACCACGGTATAACTCAACTTATCACTAGCATGTACCTTAGAGGACTAACATCTCTGATGTTTCATAAATAGTCACTGTGGTAACTGATTGCTGTAAGCTATTTTTTTAGGACTTGGGGTCAAGGTCTTGTCAGTTTCAAACTGGGGTTGAGACCCTACCCTGAACGGGCAGCACGCAACATTCCCAGGAGTGGCCTTTTGATGTCAGAGGGCCCAACTCCTCCTCAGATGATGTAATGCCCCGAATTTCTGAGCAGGATCTTATAGGAGCCACAGATCCCAGCTAGGCTTGTGGCCAGACACGATTGCCTCCGTTTCCCATGCAATCGCTTTCCCGATTTGCGCTATAGGACACCAGATCCTTTGATTCCGGGTAAGGATCCAACTCTATCTTTTAGGGAGGGGGTTTGAGACTGTTCTGCCTCCTCCTTGGTGTCAGAGCGTGGAATACCCCTTTCTCGTGGCAACCCAGTCTTATGGTGCAGGGGCAAATGAGCTGGTTGAGAGTCATCAGCCGGCACCAAGGACCGTATGGTTCAGACTCATGGAATATTGGTCTGAAACCAAGGGAGGGTCGGATTTCATCTTTGTTGCCTAATGGTTCTCCCCACTCTTTGGCATTAGTGGAGCGCTCCATGAAATGTTGTTTGAAGTAAAACTGGAGGGTAGAAACAATGGTTCACCTTGCGTTGATACCTTAGACCGATGTCGCCCTGGATAGATTTTTAAACTTAAACTTACAGGGTAATGATGAGATACATTTTGACATATAGTGACTTATAGGCACATTTATACAAATTTGACTATACCCAGATGCAATTTGTTTTTAGATCAAAACAAAAATAAAAAGGAGAGACGGCCAAAGATAACCTTAAATAGTGTGGGTAAATTTCTCCCCTTACCTTCTGCGAGCTGCGAGTCCCAGGAGAGAGCACAGAGACGGAGACACTGGTCTGTCTTCCTGTAGTCGTTTCACTTCGGTGAGCCCTCATGGTGTGAGCATTTTGGTGTAATCTAGAGTTGATACATTTTTCATACAACATGTGCTCTGAGAGAAACGCAGCGTCTGCACCTTATCTGCACCTGGTATCTGGGTTAACCATGTGTCCCCTATCTGGAGGGGCATCGATCTCTTGGCGGCATCTTGAGAGATGGCCTGAGATTCTTCTCACATCAAGACTTTCTTTTTTTTTTTTTTTTTTTTTTGGGTTTACATTGAGATGGAACTATCTATTTGCTAAAAACCTAAAACATTTGTCCGTTTAAGAAGAAATCCACTGTGATGTGTAGTTGATCTTGCCAATTAAATTCATGGACGGGTTTTGCTTTTGGGGCGGGTGATCTTTGTAAGAATTTCATAAAGAAAAAAAACAGGATCATATCAATAGTAATTTAAACGATGAACCACTTAAGACGAAGAAATATGAAATCCGAGAGTGATTCAGTTTTGGCAGGCCCCTAGCTCTTTCTTTTTTTAAGCTCCTTAAAGACTGTTGCAGGATGAAAGGATCACTGGCTCCGAGTCTCTTTGAGATAACAAGTGATGAAATAAAAAAAGAATACTCAAACAAGGTCAGGTAACCCCATTCCCCACCCTCCCCTCAAGGTAAAAAATATGAGTACTTTTAGTAACAATTCAGAATTCTATCTCCTACCTGCCTCATCAGTGGAAGTTTAAGTCATGACATTTTTTAGACATTTATACTTGTTTATATAGACATATAAATTCATATTAGATGACAATTGATTTTTAAAAGGTCCAGGTAGAGAAAGAAGCAATCATCTTCAACTAAAACCTTTCTATGTTTTGGATTCCTATTCAACTTGCTATCGTTTAGCAAAAAGCAGTTTCCATAGTGTTCATCTCCAATCTTATTGCTTTACAACTGTGGTATACCTTCCATTAAAAATAAAAAGATGTAACTGCTTAACTTTTCTTATAAAAAAATAAAATAAAATAAAAATAAAAAGATGAAGCGGTCAATCCAGTGATTAATTTGACATGGCTTTCATTGGGAAAGGGGTGGTGGTGTCAAAGAGACCAATAGACCGAAAGGCAACTTAAACACTTAAACATACAATGGTTTTCTTAAAAAGAGAGAGAGAGAGAGAAAGCGAGCGAGAGAAAAAATGTTACTTTTAACAAATGGAAAAAAGCACTGAAAGCCCATGAGTCAAGCCATAGCCAAAACCATGTTCTATCTTAAGTAGGTTCTTTTTTTTCTCCCTCTTTTTTTTTTTTTTTTATTTTCCTTTTTTTAATAAAATCTCTCCCCAAACCATCATCACTTTTAATCCTCCCCCGACTGGGCTTCATCTTCAGACCCTTCATCCCCAGACTTCTCGGGTGGGGGGCTTGCAGATGCTTTCTTTTCTGGAGGGCTTTCTGGTTCCTCGTCATCTTCTTTGGGAGAAGGAGTCTTTTCCTTTGATGCCTTTGAAGCTGTGGGGCGCCCCACTTCCCCTTTGCCTTTCACTGGACTTGGTGTCACTGTAGCCTTTAGCCTGGGTTTGGGCATTTTCTTTTCTTTTCTCTCAGGTTTTGACTTCTTCACCATCTTTTTGTTTTTCTTTTTTGAACTGCCATAGTCACTATCATCATCGTCTTCCATTAGGAAATCTTCATCGCTGCCGGAATTCTCCTGGAATGGCGCCTCATCCTCTTCTTCTTGTTCTTCCTCACTGCCCACATCCTCCATGAGCATCTCTCTCTGTTTAGAAGCTGCTTTGGGTGCTGCTTGCCATTGCTGGCGCACATTTTTACGATCTTCTTTTCCATCTTCACTGTCCTCTGCTGAGTGAGAATCATCCTTCTTGGTCTTCACATCTTTTTCTTCTGAGTCCTCACTATCTTCCTGTGAATTCTTTCCAGATCGCCTCTTATTTTTAGCTTCTCGGGGAGATGATCGAATTTTCTTAGCAGGAGGGCCAGAATCTCTTCCAGAGAGCGGCGTTGTGGGTTTTTTTTTTCATTCTGGCATCATTCCTATATTTCCTTGATAACTTGTTCTGGATAAGTTTTTTCTATTCATCCTTCTCTTGTTTTTTTTCTGCAGGTGGCTTCGTGACATTTTTTTTGTCTTCGCGTGTTGAATACAGACTTTGTTGTTGATTTTTTGTTTATTGAATTGCCATATTAGATCTCTTTAGGACCCTCTCGCTAAATTTGGCCGATTTTCTTTGTGATCCTTATCTTGTTTTTGGGCTTTACCGTATCTCCCTTGAGCTGCTGGTCTTCTTTCTAAAGCTCCGGTTTTCTCGCGCTTTCTTTGGCTTCTAAGTGCCCCCTGGATAAGACGATGCCCTCCGCTTCCCTGCCTTCTCTTCAAAATGGCTCCTGTGTTTTTTTTTTTTTAGTGTTTTTTTATAAGCGGTATCACGTTTCCTTTTATATATGATTGTTGGATTTGACTCATTGTTCCTGGTTTCAGCTTTCTCTTCTCCTCCTTGCTTTAATTTCCGACGCCGGTGCGCATCTTTCCTGTATTGGGTCTCCTGTGTATTCCATCTTCATCTTCCTGACTGTCCGTACTCTGCGCTGATATCCCTATCTCTACGCTTTGCTTTCAGTAGTTTCAATTGTTCTTTTTGTTCTAACTAAAATCCCTCTAGTCATTAAGTCCATTCTTGTTTCTGAACCTGTGGCTCTTAAATGCTTAACACCTGAGAGCATTGGAGGGCAAGACGCTCCCGAGCTGAACCGCCGGCCCGACGCCGTCCTTCCTCTCCAGACCCACTAGCCTGTGGCCTTGCCTGTCCCCCAGCCCGGCAAGCAAAACACAGCCAGGCTGCACCATCGCCACGAGGCACGGCACGGGCACTGCGTGCTGGACTTCGCACTGGCCTATGCCAAGTTCTGTGGGGCCCAGTGCAGATGAGATGGCCTGGACGCCCCTTTTTGAAAAACTATTCTAATAACTTTCAAGGATGGTAATCAGCCAGGGCCAGGCGTGGGACCGCTCTATCAGTCACAGCCGTGTGTGACTGCAGGGTTGCGCCCCTGAAGGCCAGCTCCTGCTAGCCACCACAGTGACGCCTTTCCAGCCTCACAGTCCCGGTTTCCTTAGAAACTCGAGTCCCCCGTTTGCGCTCTCCTCCACTCCGGCGCGCCCCTTCGGCATCCTCTCGCACGAGCTGGCCAGGACTCCTGGCTGGTGTGGCCTCCTGCTGGAATCTCAGGCTCACATTGACGTTTGCTCCACCATTCTCTGGCGACTCTGCCTCCTCTCTGGCAGATCGTCCTCGGTCCCTCTCCTGCCAATGGCTGGACGGCCTAGGGGCTGGGATGGCAGATCAAGTGCCCGCCCCTATCCACCCCTTGCGCACCCTGGGTCCTCATCTCCAGCCCTCACACCGTCTATTGCTCTTCCTACCGAGCTGAGCAAACAACCTTGAGGCATCATTCCAGCCCTGACATAACTATGCACTTTTGAATAATGTGGCAGAAACAGGCCGTGTATTTACCGGAATTTCATGGGTCCCACACCTCCCCGCCCCCAGGAAGAACTACATTTCCCAGTGGCCCCCTTGCATCCTCCCATGTGAACCTGTTAACAGCCAATGGATTGGGAGGTAAGGACTCACCAAGGCTAAAGAACCACCAAAACCTCCTGCTAGCCATCTCCCTGAGACCCTCATGCCCAAGTCCCTTGTCCCAACCTGCATGTTGTGTGACACAAGGGCTTCCTTGAAGCACAACGGTGACCTGCAAATGGAAGCAAGTTCCCCAGCGACTTTGCATAAGCATCAAGCCGACATGAATGTTCCCTCCCACTCGAGCCTCCAGGCACACCGGGCTTCTTCCCCATTCTTCCCCGAAAAACTGGTTCTTGGTCACCAGCGCTCGCATGTTTTCCAGGAACCTCCACTGCAACAATGGAAATTGACATTGACTGTGAGGCCGCTAAACTCATGGTGCGACCTGGGCACAAATGCTGCCTCTCTGGGCCTTCATTTCCCACCAGGCAAAGCATGGAAGAGGTCTGGCCCTTTTCGGCTCCCCCAGCCCTCTCCTGATGGTTCTGGCCCCCATCCTGTCCTCTGTGCTACACCAAGCAAAGACCTGACTGTATCCTTCTTGCACTACAGCCCCATGCGGTCAGTGTCTCCTGAGCTCAGGCATGTTTCTAGAAGTCCTACAACGTGATACACGTGGAAAGCAGTTTGTGAACACAATTCACAGGACAGCACGGGGTGGCTTTGAAGTCATGGAGCCGGTTTGGTGGCCGAAGTTGCTGCCACTCTTACCAGTTGGATGACCCTTGCAACGGACACTTGCTGATGAAGATGAGCTCTGCACACACACCATTACGTCGATGTCAGCAGAGCTTATTTCTCATCTGTAAACACGTGACATAACGAGAGTGCTCGCCCCATGGGTTGCTGGGAGCCCAAATGAAATAATGCACAGCCGCATAGCAGTTTAGCAGCGAAAGCCTGCCTCCTTAGGCTGTTTCGTGAATGCCCAACGTTATGATGACCAAGTACCAGCACACTGGGGGGCCAGCCCCTTCGCTCCTCCAGTCCGTGGGCACACGCTGGGTCCTACGCCCATGGTTTGATGAGTGCTACGTCTGCTCCCAAGCCCCTTGTGGAGAGGGGCCACAGCATGCTGGGCTTCCTGGCGATGAGTCTAGTGCCCTAATTCCAAGTTTAAAGGCAGCCAGTGTACTTTCCAAGAGCATTTCAAGACCCATTTTTTTTTGTTGAAGGCCCATCAAGGGGCCAAGTTACAGCCACATGCCCCATCAGAACATGCCCTCCAACTTGTTGCAAACCCTTGGCGAAGATCAGACACCCTGATGCGAGGGTTAATTACCGGACTGGCATCCCATCGCTCTGGGAAAACTTCAAATGCGCTTTCTCTTCTCTCCTCTCTTTTTTTCCCTTCTCTTCCACAAAGACATACATTTTGTACCCAAGTGCCCAGGGCCCTAAGAATCTTCATTTGTAGTTAACAAAGAGGAGCGACCTTTTGGGACTGAGTGTTTGCTGGAAACAACCTTTGGAGACCCTCTGCACCGCAGTGGTCCCCGGGGTGACTCAGGGTGGAGAGGGCATGGTGTGGGCATGTCGGCAGACAGTGGATGACCGCCCAGCGCTTCGGGGCTCTCCACCCCTGGGCACCCCAGTTACTTGCCAAAGGAAGGCACCAAGTCGACGCTCCCGCACGTCCTGGTCTGGGGAAAGCCCCATGCCAGCAATTCTTGACATGCTTCTCGATATGTGACATCGAGAAATTTTATTGCTCTTGGTTTTGAGCTCTCAATTTTTTATCATCAATGGCATTTCATTCTCAAAATGCCCATAAAATTCAATAAAAAGATTAAATGCCACATGTGTATACCAATCACATAACACCGTGAGCCATGCTCCTTTTTTTTCCGTTCCAGGAATAAATGAGGTTTGCGCACTTTTTGTCATTTGCACACATCATTGTAATATCTTAAAAACATGAAAATCATATGCCTTTGGTCTCTGAACTTTATTTTTGCACTTAAGTACCTAATAATATAATTTGAATGGTGACCAGAATTTCATAGTATGGAGTACGATATTTAACTTTATAATGATCACTTCTGCTGCTGGTGGAATATTTCTGTTTATAAACAAAAAAAATGCTCTTAAATACTTCTTCCATTGCGCTCCTGCTAAGGGTCAAGCCCTGGGACTCACCCTCAGCGTAGCAGCAAAATACTTCTAGGTGTCGCCGTGAAGTCCGGGTTAAGGTCCCGGTTA